AGTACTTCAGAGTGTGCTGACCAACTCAAAGTGGGATCGTCGAAAAGTCGAGATTTTCGACGCGTCCGATGCGCAATGGTTAGACCGCCCTTCAGCACACGCGCGCCAGACACTTTTTCGACTTTACGCGCGCGCGCCATCAACGTGTTAGATCTGCGCGACTTTTTTGACTTTTCGGATTATCGGCGCGCGTGAGAATGTTAGACCCTTACAAATAACATCCGAAAAGGGTCCGAAATTCCGTTTGGCGCGCAAGGGTCCAAAAAAAGCGCGAGCACCCCACCCTGTGGCGGAGAGGAATTTTCCAGGTCCCCTTTTGGACCAGTTCCACAGACTCCCCTTACCCTGGGATATACGAAAGAGGAGCAAATAGCTCAACGACGAAATGGAAAGTGCAAGCAGCTTAGGCAGCAAGCATCTGTACAAATCGTCGGCGACTGTGAACTTCTCTTTTCCTCCTTTCAGATTGAAGTCGCTTGCCTTCGGGCTTGCTTGATGTCTCTGGGGAAGATCTTGGCTTGGTTCTCACAGGCTCTGCTGTGCCGTTTCATCACCACTCGAGCGAGCTCGTGGTGAGGACTCGAAACAGTTTTGACTGCTAGAATCAAAGTTCGGATGTGTTGTGTTCCAAAAAACCGGGAACCTCACCTCGCATAGAGTTCTCCGCTTAGGCGTATCGACGAACCAGGCGAATAGTGTGGAGCCCACGCCTGCTGATCCCCTTTTGTGGTTGAACGGTAGAGGCGAAAACATTAAAGTCGGGGAAAGTCTTTTTAGTTTTTCTCGCAATGGCGAATGAGGTGAACATCCTTGCCGATGGCTAGTCCTAAAAGCATTTATGTAACACCAAATTCACTCGGAGGTGCGGACGCTTTGGAGTTTTTTTCTTTATGGAATCAACAAAATCGCATCTAGCCTCCACCAAGGGGTGGCCTAAGCTACGTTTTGTCGGTCCATTTGAACAGGCAACTGTTTCGAAACTTTCAAACACGTAGGCTTGGTTTTCATTCCAGAGCAAAGTGGAATCGGAGAGATAGGAGGAATTCGTCCTGACCTTCCGTCCTGCTAGGGCATTTCGGTGCCCAAGCGAGACTGGGGTGAAGCGATTTCCAGCTTTCTCTGCGTTTTTCATTTAAACGCAGTGACTGCTAACGCTTTTGTGAAAAACACGGTCAGCCGAGCCTCC